ATGCACACATACACACACACACACACACACACACACACACACATACACACATACATACATACATACACACACATGCACAGACACCCCAAAAAACACCCAAAAAAACGCAAGATAGATACAACAATTAACTACGATCATCCCTCATCCCACAGAGCAAGCAGCCTACCTGATCCACTTTGTTGGAGGGCCGGATGGGGTGCACGATCTTACAGCTCTTCCGTATCTCTGGTTTGAGACAGTCCTCCCCTACAGCTACCACGGAGCCGGTGTGTCGGTCAAGGGCTATCAGACTCGGGAAGAACAGACCCGGTAGACATGCTGGGGAGACACAGATTTGGTCAAAGACCATTGGATAGGTTTAACGCCACTTTCATTCCTGTAAATGTTTTCAAGAGGCAGGACCTCAAAATGTAACGTCCATATCCGCCGACAGGACCGAGCCCAATCTAATGCCAGTTAATCATTTTCATGTAAAAAACATACTTGATTTGTTTAATTGCAAATGATTTGTTTTCCTTTCCTTTTCTTCATGTTGCCAGCTTAAAAGTTGCCCGATCATCTTTTCCTCAGATGACTAGGCAAGTAAAGATGAAATTTTACAGTCGTTTTTTGCGGTGATCAAATCTTTTGCCTAGAGTGTGGTTTGGTTTGGGACAGTCCTCCCCTACAGCCAGAACCGAGCCGGTGTGACGGTCTAGGGCTATCAGACTCGGGAAAAACGGGCCCGGCAGACATGCTGAGGAGACACAGATTTGCTCATTGTATCATCATCATCATCCGGTGCCTTGCCGACTGGCGTGGGTGATCATGAACCTCCTCTTCATTCTGTCTTGCGTGACCATTGTATAGGTTTTTCTTAGTAAGTGTTTTACTGCACTTACAACACCACAAGGTCATATAAGTGCTGAAGATTAGAGGTGTTACAAGAGAGTAATAAACACAAAAAGGAGGGGAGATAAAGGCGGTAGATATTTGATAGGAAAGAAGAAGTATAGGTTGAACGCCTCTTTTAAGCTGTAAAGGGGAAAGGATGGGGGGGGGGGGATAAACTTCCTAATGCCATTCATCATCGTCAAGAACAAAAGTCACCATCAAGCAACTGAGTACACGGTCTTGTAACGATAGAATATCGGAAGCAGAGCCCGCCAGTAGTTTGGATCTAGTAAAAAATGTTACGTCCCTTTCATCCCTGTAAGATTTTTTAAGAGACAGGACCTCAAAATTTAACGTCCGACAGGACCGAGCCAAATGCCAGTTAACGGTTTTTATGCATACACATGACGTTTAATGCTTCTTTCAACCCTGGAAGTTTATTTAAGACGCAGGACCTCAAAACTTAACGTCCATATCCGATAGGACCCAGCCAAATGGGTGGAGAGCCTTAAAAACTCACTAAAACAACCCGATTTCAAAACACTCCACTGAAGATTCAAACAAGGACAATCCGCTCTTTAGTCCAACATGATACCAAATGAGCTAATGGTCAGTTTGGAGACAGAGTACCAACACTGGCTTAGTCAGGACTTACATAATTATTTCTAATGACAATAAAAGGATGACAAAAACAGTAGCAAGCCGAATAAATGATAATGATAATGATAATGATAATAATAATGGTTCGTCTGTCTATGTCTAACGATGACTAAAGCATCTGTAATGTGTCACTGAACAGGTTTAACGTCTTTTTTTTTTTTACACTGTAAGGTTATTTAAGAAGGAGGGGCCTCCGAATTTAACGGTCCCAATGCATCCGCAGAGGGGAATATTGCTGAAAAAGAAATAGACGAAATAAGGATTACGATGACGTGTGGAATCTCCTTTGGCCAATGAGACCAATTCTGGAACAGAAGAAGAGTTTGCCACATTTTGAGCATTTAAAAGCTTCATTTCCACGCATGACGAGCCAATCACACTTAAAGCAAAATATTTGATCACCACAAAACAATAGTAAAATTTCATCTCTTCTTGCCTGGTCATCTGAGGAAAAGATGATCGGGCAACGTTTTAACTGGCATCATGAAGAAAAGGAAAGGAAAATAAACAATTTGTGATTAAACTCATCAAGTTTATAACATGAAGCTCAACAACTTTAGCACATGTGTACACGAAAAACGGTTAATTGACATGGTCAAGAAGAAAAATAAAAGCCATACTCATCAACTAGAGAGAGAAAGAAGGTAAAACAACATTCACCCCTCTTCTCTCCCCTCCCCACTCCAAAAAAGAAGAAAGCAATCTCAATCAAGCAATCGAAAAACCAATAAAGTTTTGGATCACACTAATTGCTGTCTGTATCTTTTAAGTGCCCCATTCTGATAGTAATTTGATGGAAAGATGGGACAGACAGAGAGGAGAGGAGGGAACAGGGACACTGGCAAATTTATAAACACATGTACATTAGTTGGCTAGCTGGCTGTAGGTTTTGTTTGTTTTTCTCGTTGTTTTGTTGTCTGTTTATTCGTTTTTTGCTTTTTGTTTCA